TGTATGATTTTAGCTACCTGATCGTGTCGATGTTTGTATTCAGTTTGTGCAAGTCGTGTGCATGCCGATATTATATGTTGGATTGTTTCTGATGTTTGTGAACAGAGTCGACAAGAATCATTTGTCACTGTTTTGTCTTTATGTATGTGTTTTTTATAGTTGCGTGTATTAATGACCTGGTCTTGTATTGCTAACATGAAACCCTCAGTCTCCGGGAAGATATCACATTTAGACAACCAAGTGTGCGTTGCTATAGAATCAACACAATCCTGGCTAACCTCTTGTGGAAATCGTCCATATAAAGGCTTTTGGTTCCATGCGTGTATGTTATTTGTGATGTATGTAAGTTTGGATGTGGGTGGGAGCATGGCCTAATAAGAGTATGGTCTGCTATTCCCGTGAACGAAATCTCGCACAAGTCGCGCTTGACGTCACGCGGTTGTAAGTATACACTGAAATATTGTACATGCTCATATGATTAAATTTGTGCTAATATTTCCATATTCCATTGCATATGTGATAAATACGATGAGATATAGCTAAATTACTTTATTACAATGGTCCATTTTGTGGTGTATGGTTGCAATAATAACAATAGAAAAATTAAATACAAGTTATTATAGATTTCCAAAACATTTTGATGGCTACACCTTCACTCAACGATCTAATCCATCGTTAGTTTCATGCTAGTTGTGCCGGGGTCGGTGATTTAAGGGGGTTTCATGAGAAGCGCCCTTCTTGGAAATGTAAAGGTTGTGATGCAACTGTACTTACTCCTGATGTTGATAACAGCATTAATCGGAAGAGATTGCGTAGTGAAAATGGTGAATATATCATGATTGATCGTAGTGTTTTTCAAGTGCTATTGGATTCCATGAACGAAATGAAACCAGAAATTGTCGAGATCAGAAAGGAAAACCAGATACTTATAAAGAAGATATCTTACGTTGAAGATAAAATAATCAGCTGTAATAATAAACAAACTTTACCTTCTTACGCTAATGCTATCAAAGGCCATGAACGCAAATCATCCGTCCATAATCCTTCTACGGTCAACGCTCGCAAAAATTCTGAAGTTTTCAACAGTCCATTACGTAATCCGACCATATCAGTCGATGAAGTCAATAAAGCTACCAGTGCTATTAACAACATGCCAAAGCCGCAAGTCGATGAGGACGGTTTTCAAAAAGTTTGCTCGCGCCGAAAGGGAATCAAAAAACCAATCCTTGTTGGCACAGGTGATTCAATTAATCAAACTGATAACACAACATTGTTTGAGGGTACTGAACGTCGCCAATGGATTTATGTTGGTCGAGTTAAAAGTGGCACTACAGCTGATACCATTTCTAGTTATGTTAAATCTTAATGGAACTTATCTGATGTATGCGTGAAACTGATTGATAATGAAGATATTGCCTCGTTTAAGGTTGGGGTGAGAGAATCCCAGTTGCAAAGTCTTCTTGATGCAAGGAAATGGCCTAAAGGAGTAGCTGTAAGAGAATTCGTTTACATTCCCAGTAGAGGTGGTTCTGCGGCGAATGTAAATTTTCAGAAGGGCGGAAGTCAGGTAATACAGACTTAACGAGTTATTATCAAAATGTACGTGGCCTAAAGCCGAAAATCAAGGCTGTTTACTGCAATTCCCTGGCAGCCGATTTTGATATCATAAGCCTAACTGAGACTTGGCTAACCCCTGAGATTTCTAATGGCGAACTGTTTGATAGTAACATGTACACAGTGTATCGCAAGGGCAGATCTGTCGAAACAAGTGCCAAAAACCGAGGAGGTGAGGTTCTTATTGCCATTAAATCATCGTATAAATCATTTCCTGTGACCGTATCACCTGGTTCTATTGTGGAGGAAATTTGGACAAAAATTGATTTTAAACATCAGTCAAGTTTTCTTGTTTGTTGCATTTATATACCACCGAGTTTATCAATCTCACATAAACTCTGTAAAATCATTTCAAAATCGATATCCAAACACCAATTTTATCCTCCTGGGCGACTATAATCTGAACAATGTGAACTGGGACTATGACCTGGACGATGCCGAAAATCAAGGCTGTTTACTGCAATTCCCTGGCAGCCGATTTTGATATCATAAGCCTAACTGAGACTTGGCTAACCCCTGAGATTTCTAATGGCGAACTGTTTGATAGTAACATGTACACAGTGTATCGCAAGGGCAGATCTGTCGAAACAAGTGCCAAAAACCGAGGAGGTGAGGTTCTTATTGCCATTAAATCATCGTATAAATCATTTCCTGTGACCGTATCACCTGGTTCTATTGTGGAGGAAATTTGGACAAAAATTGATTTTAAACATCAGTCAAGTTTTCTTGTTTGTTGCATTTATATACCACCATTGTATTTATTATAAATACAATGATACCACCGAACTCATCAATATCTGTTTATCAATCTCACATAAACTCTGTAAAATCATTTCAAAATCGATATCCAAACACCAATTTTATCCTCCTGGGCGACTATAATCTGAACAATGTGAACTGGGACTATGACCTGGACGATGCTCGATATTTTAAATGTATATGTTCCTAAAATTAAGTTTTATACGTCGACTTACCCTCGTTGGTTCAACAAACAACTGCAATAAAAAACTTGCCCACAAACAATTTAAGCAATCCAGAAGTGATGACGACTACTCTATCTTCTCAAGTCTATGCAATCAGTGCCGCATATTGACCAAGCAGTGTTATGAGAACTTTATCAGATCTTGTGAAGAAAATATCACTGTCAATCCCAGATTGTTTTGGAAATTTCATCATAATCTAAATAGGTCATCTAACAGCTTACCATTCATGTTTAAGGATGGTAAGTATATCTCAGATCGACATGAAATTGCCAATCATTTCGCTAACCATTTCGCCAATGCCTTTGTGGAATGTATTCAATCTGGCAATTCGTTCGCTACGCTTGACGGCACAAGACATTCAAGATAGGCTTGCTAAAATGAATGTGAAGGATAGTACCGGGCCGAATGGGCTCCCTCCAGTGTTTCTAAAGAGCTGTGCCACGTCACTGTTTTTACCATTATTTCATCTTTTTACATCTTCGTTGAAAGAAGGTGTTGTTCCGTCCAGAAGGAAGAATTCGAAGATTGCTCCTGTTTATAAGAGCGGTCCCAAATCTGATTTCGGGAACTATAGAGACCCATTACAATTCAATCTGCAATACCAAAGCTACTTGAAGCAATCGTTGCCTCACAGTTCACCAAGGCCCTTGGTAACGTGTTATCAAGCAACCAACATGGTTTCATCAGCGGAAGATCTGAATTACATCTTTGTTTCTCTGGATAAAGGCAATGATGTACACTCGATTTATACCGATTTCTCGAAAGCCTTTGACACAGTAAACCAAAAAATATTGATCTTCAAATTAAGGAAGTATGGTGTGGGGGAAGCTGCGCTTAAATGGATTTACAATTACTTGAGTAGCCGTACAGCACAGGTCCTCATTGAAGATACCTGGTCAAATTCCTTCGTAATAAGATCAGGAGTACCACAAGGCTCTCATCTTGGTCCTCCACTGTTCCTGGCTTTCATTAACGATATTTCATCAGTATTCATATCTGAACATGCGCTTTTCGCCGACGATCTCAAGATATACAGGGCTATTGGTGGTATCAATGACACTGCAATGCTACAAGACTTGGTGCAATTAGAACTCTGGGTGTTAAACAACGACTTGCAGCTTAATGTGAATAAATGTTACACTATTTGTTTTTCAAAAAAATACAGTCCTTCTGAGCCGAATTACTACCTTGGTGGTCAGTTATTAGATAGTGTCGACTCCATCAGAGACTTAGGCATCATACTGGACAAGAAATTCAATTTTCACCTCCATTACGACCAAGTGACATCGAAGGCAAGTAAAATACTTGGACTTCTTAAACGCCAGCGTAACGGTTCCCGTAGTATAACAGCTCTAAGGACACTATGCTTCTCGCTTGTGAGATCCCATTTGGACTACTGTTCCGTTATATGGTCCCCTTATTATGTTTCCCACATCAATCGCCTACATTAATATAAAATTAATACATGTCCTTTAGCAGCCTTTAAGATTCAACAAGAGAAGAGCTTTGAATGCCCTTAAGATCCATTACGAGTTTTAAAGGTCTCTAAATGGATCGATAGACCTTTGAAAGTCCTTAAGAGCGTTAATGAATCGCCAACAGTTCTCAAGGACAAGGACAAAACTTTTTTAGAACCTTCAAAACCTTTTATAAAGTCATTATAACTTTAGCCATCCTTAATACGCGTCACTTGAAAAACCTTGTTTAACCTTTAGTACACATTAAAAGACTTTTTTCTATTTCGGTGTTACAATGAGAATTTTGTGCAACTATTTTCGGCAAAAACAGTGTTTCAATGAGTGCCATTGTAACATTGTTTTTGGTAACTTTTCATCTCTAAGTTGGCAGTTCGCCAAGACGTCAACGTCAAATCATCAGATGTGAAATCAAATTACGTAAAATTTATGTGTTTTCCTTGATTTTTGGTACACGAAGAACTAACTTAATACATTCCAAATCAGCAGTTTATACACCATAAATAAATTTATCTTCGAATAAAAAATTACACATTCACGGAATTTAAAGTTTCCAAATGCCAGTGTTGTGTTTATCTCATATATATAAGAGAAGATATATGGTTTATCTACGCTGCCAACTTAAAATTTGTCAACGTAAATGTTGTTGCCAACTTAAGACATATTAATTCTAAAGTTTCCTGTAGTTTTTCATAATTACTTTTTAATTAAATTAAAGCCCCGAAATAGAAAAAAGAGTATGAAAAACACGTGTTACAATGCTTTATTGTAATACTACGCTGCCAACTCATTTGTCAACGTAAATGGTGTTGCCAACTTAAGACATATTAATTCTAAAGTTTCTTGTAGCTCCGCTTCGCAATGCTTTATTGTAATACTCCTATCTTGTGGACACTCGTGGCTCCGCTTCGCTACGCCACTCGTGCCACAAGATAGTCGTATTACAATAGGTCGCATTGTAACACTTGTCTTCCAATATACTATAAAAGCTTTTGTTTGTGATTAAAAGTCGTGTACACCCGTTAGTCGCAAATAATCTCTATGCAGGCTCCAAGAGTGACCTAAAAGTGTTATAGTCTCTTTCTTCCTTAAGAGCCTTAACACATTTTAAGAGCTCCTAACCTTTTGCAAAAACCTTTGAGCGTTCGACGTTGAAAATATATATATCAATTTTTGAATTTTTAAGAGTTTTACAAAGTTTTCAAAAGTCACCCAAGAAGAATATAACATGGCATAACCTATACAAATAAAATCAATAAAGCAAGAGTACAACAAGAACAACAAAATACAAAGGAAAAAAACATACAAATGAAACACCTCATTACCTACATTAACAATCAGGTAAGTATCGAATCAAATGCAATAAATCAACAAGAACGAAACACAAGAGACATCATAAATACAAACGAAAAACACGATAAATCATTTAGTTTAAACACATCTATGAGCAATTAGGCAAAACAACTCGTTTATTTCCCTGACGATCTGCAGATCATCGCGTTGTTTACATACCATTTATCGGTGCCATAGTATCTGGGGTTAAGTACACCATTCCTCCTTTGTGGTGTCTGGTAATGGTTAGCGGCTTCACAGTCTAAATGAAATTGACGCTACTGTTACTGTTACCAGTAGATAGGTACTGTTATACAATAGAAAATCTAATCATTTCAATCTAATAAAATAAATTCATCGATTGTCGTTAATGATAGGAGATTTTGATCTATTTTCACACAAATGTGTGTAATAGTAACGAATTCTGTTTATCAGTATGTGCATACAGTGTTATCCTTCAATAAATGACCATTATTATTATTATTATTACTAAATTTTAAAAATGAACAGTAGTTCTAAGCATATACCTATACCTACAGCGAGTGGTATAAACAAACGAAACAGCAGTATTTTCACTTAGGTACTGACGTAGGGACCAAAACTTCTGAAATTTTGAACTGTGCGACAGAGAAAGTCATCTTTGCAATATCCCAAATTCAGAACGGATCATTTAACTAATTAAAATTTTAGTGTCTAAAGAATCACGTGGTTAGATAATTCATAGTAAACGATGTCCCTTAAAACGTAGAGCTGTTTTGTTTCTATACCTAACCCTGCAAAAGTACCTACAGATAATATAAACGAAAGCATCTGGTCCCACTTTTTAACACTCATGAGTCATGATAATATGTCCAAGCTGATATTGATTAAATCACTTTTGATGCAGCTGCAGTTCATCTTCCAATAAGTCCATGTACTTATATGTATTTTCCAACACTTCCTGTGCAATGGACTGATCGGCCATATAGACAGCGTCACAATTGAACGACAAAACTAACCTATCATCATAGGATAGCGATCCGAACATTAAATCTGAAACAAGCGTAAATCAGTCCAGGACTTGCAGATTGTGTCACGTACCGAGACCCAGCAAGTGAGGGCTCCAAAATATAATATCCCGCACACTGAAGACTCCATCGTTAAAGAAAATCTTTGGTGGTCCTGGTATTAGGCTCACGCATACGGTGCTGTTGATATGACCACATATGTGACGTACCCACGACGTTGGAAGTGCTCCAAAGAAATAGTGGAAAACTATTTTGGACACCTAAAGTACTATGTAAGAAAATATTAATTTAATGTTACAAATTGCGTACCGGCACTTCAACCGATGTCTTCATTACGTCCACCAGCCTTCTAATCGCACTTAGTTTACTGAGAACTGGCATATTTTCGTCAAATTCATCGTTTTCGACAAAGAACGGTACCTTCAGGCACAGTATAATAAACCTATTGTTCAAGTGAATGTCACTGACATCCAGACCAGGTTGTATAGTTTTTAATTCCGTATAGTTTTGCACTACTGGAAGTGTTAGGGTTATATCATTTGGGCAGCTTTTATGGTACTGAAAAGACGATGTCAGTGTTTCAATTTAATTTATCCTGATGTATACCTTTATGAAGTGCTCCTTCATACTTTCGCTAAACGCAGCGAGCACAATTTCGGGAACCGATGCGTTAGTGTATTTCCTAATTTTCTTGACTTTTTGAAAGTACGTCCCATTTTCATCGAGAGTATAGGCCACCTTTTCGTTATTGCTGAGTGCTTTTCCATGAAGTTCATTGTGATCATGGCATTTTAGTACCACCATGGAATACAAGGCGGTGGGAAAATATACGATTATTTGCAGAATAAAGTAGACATAATGGAGAAGTGTTGCGAATTTAATTTCTTCGGTTTTGACGTACTTCTCGAAAGTCGAGGGGTTTGAGTTGTTTAACTTGTCGGTTAAGAGTCCGACGAAAAATTTCAAAATGGTAATACCATCAGATACAACGTGGTGAACGCGTAGTACTAGGGGATAGCACTTCTTACTGCTTCCGTTGTCTTTCTGTTGGAGTGGTTGTGTTCCAAAGGCGACATCCCACAGCAGTGGGCCATTAAATGGTTCAAAATACCAGTGACTAATCAATTTCTTTAATGAGTCATTATTCAGTTCGCCATCAATTGTCGGTAATCTACGTATGCATTCGTGCATGTGAATGTTGGTCTTTTTTAAAAATTTGTACCCAGAAAAAGTGTCAAGGGTTGTGAGTAATTTACCCAAATGCGTTTCATTCTGCATTATGGTATCTGTCACTACTTTATTCAAGAACTCACGAATTGACTCGGTGCTGGTCTCCGTATCAGTTTCAAACAAAACTACCGCAGTGATGGTGTTTTGTTTCATCGTTTGAGTAGCACTTACCACGTCCAGTCCACGCACGAGCCCACAAAATTTGTCTCCGTACTTCCGACGCAAAATTATCGATATTATCATCCGATAGCTCATTAGAATTGGATACAGCACAGCGGATAGTAATATAATCAATATCGTTACCGGAACAAATACCACAAATAAGAACACATCCCTCTTCGATTTAGTTTGTCTCTGAAAAGGTGGCAACAGTAAATTTTTTGGCGGCCCGTAAGTCATAATCTTACCTTGATTTCTATAGTGTTTAATAACAAAATTATGAACGAAACCACGAAAGTAAAAACAGCCACATTAAGATCACCCATGATCACTTAACATACGAAGATGGCATTAAACTGCCACAATACAAGTAATGGCCCGCTTAATGGAGTGCTAATTAGATCACCTAAACGCTTATTGGATTTTTACCCGATTTATTTAAAATTACGTATTTTAGTGAGTAGGTAGTTCCGACTGCTTTTACAATTTCAGATTTCCACTATTAGTATGGGAAATTTCTATGACCTAGGCAATCGGAAATATGCGTTTAATTACCTACTGTTGTTAATGCGACTCCATAATTATGTAACTCCAGTGTATTTAAGTAGTACCTACTTACTTATAGGATAATGTTATCTGCTTCTATAGTAATGCCTTCATCCTAAGGGCTGAACTTTCAAAAACCGACCCTTGTTTATACCGCGGTACAAGATCCCACATAAGGTCAACCTTCGCTAATCTGTTTACCGAGTCTCGTGGAATTAAGTCAAGAGTAGGTACCCTTAATTAAAATTAATGTAAATAATATTTCTATCTGCTTCTATCACATGGAGAGGGCATATGCGCACTCGCTTACATCGATGCGTACACCACAATTAGTTGTTACTCTGCGTCTTACTCTTTTACACGAAACAATACATATGTCTCTCTCTCGCGCGCTATTTAGAATTGTGACAACCGTACTGTTCGTTCCGTGTGAAAGAGAAAGACGCAGCGTAACAGCTACTCGTGGTGTGCATTGAATGTAAGAGAGTGCGCATGCGCTCTCCCCATGTTATAGAACCACCACCACCAACCGGAGCACACTTTGAGTAACGCTGGTTTGGAGAACAATCTCCGAACGGCCATAATAGATGCGTTCGAAGCTAGTTGCCCGTTGATACATCAGAGAACCTCACAAAATAGGGGTACCCACCTGAAAATCTCTAGTACCTGTATGTTTGCATGGAGGGGTTTTTTGATTTCTTGTTCTGAATCACTTCTAGGTACAGCTAGGATTTAAAACTATAGTAAGTTATGCAGATCACATAACTACAATAATAGGGTGCAAAGGTGGTTTGAGAAAGAGAGAGTTTTGGTTAATCCAACAAGACCTATCCCATGGGAACAGACGCGGCTTTTCCTCTACGTCCTACGAGACGTCTATTTCCATGGCGAATGAAGTCGAATTTACACAGGACGTTGACTACATTTGAACAAAACAACAAACGAACCCATCAGGGCCTTATGAACCTGTAGACGAATGTTTAGAAATGGATTGGGTCTGACGCCAAAAATGAACCAGTGGAGATACATGATGATGATTAAACGTGTACATTACGTATGCGGCCTTCGTGTGGTGGAGCGGGACTGAGACACACTGAGTACAACGCTTGGTCTGTTTAGGTATAAGAGGGGTGATGGCTATAGCACTAACGGCAGGCAGCCATGGAGGCCCTTCTTCAAAGGCTTACTAATTAAAGATAAACTCTGATGCAGGGCATTCAAAAGAAAGGCATTGCGCCATTCATAATGTCCAAAGAACACGTTGTAGAAATGATTCATGACAGATATCTATCTGATAAAATTGCTGTACCAACAAGAGATGAGGTGGGAGTACAAAAAACCCTCCCACTAAGTTAAGTGGAGAATCTTCATAGTACACGAGGGCCAGGTAGCAATACAAGTGTGGGACAAACTCTGTCAGTTGGTGCAAAATAATAACGTCAAGCTGATGTAATATATGTAATATATAAAATGTATGTAATAAGTTATATTATTTATTTGTTACTCAGTTGTAAACGTTGATTAACAAGACAAAACGCAAACGGGTAAACGTAATGTTTAAACGCTACTGACTTGTAAAACTGACAGCTGACCTGTAAAAATTTTACAAGTTAGTAATCTAGTCATTTCATTGGCCAGAATTAGTGCGAAGTCTCTGTTACATGGATAACATGATATTTTAGACATTTCTTTGAGATCAATTTAAGAACTAATTATTTACGTTTACTATTGTTTACAAATGAGTAACAAATAAAATATTGTACATTATACTCCAGGTAATAGTTTTTGCTGGCTCTAGGAGATGACAGGCTCGCCTGACGGCTTGCGAGTCAACTTCTCCTATCCTGGCTAATAATGTAAAATACTATTAATTCTGATATCATGGACGACACGGATTCTGAAGAAGGAAATAATGCAGATCTGAACAGAAAGGGCCTTCTAGGACTAAGAGATCGAACTCGTCTGGGACGACCAGCATATTTTAATGATTACGTTATGTTAACATACACTGACGTAATGAAAAGTGTAGATAAAGAGCTTCGGGAGAAAGCGATAAATGAGGAAAAAATGTCTTTTGCGAAAAACAAAACCTGGATTCTTGTAAAAACCGAAGAAGCGAAAGGCAGAAAAATTTTGAATAGTAAATGGATTTTCAAAGAAAAAGAAAATGGAACCAGGAAAGCTAGACTAGTTGTAAGAGGTTTTCAACAAGAAAGAGGAATAGATGTTCAAGAAACATATAGTCCTGTGGTAAATATGGCAAGTTTGCGAGTACTTCTTACGATAACGGCTGCTAAAGAATTTAAAATAAGAATCTTTGATATAAAAACAGCGTTTCTTCATGGGGAACTGAAAGACGAAACATTCATGCAAATTCCGGAAGGTTATCCAAAGAAGGAAGGAATGATATGTAAGTTACAGAGAAGTTTATATGGGTTAAGACAATCACCGTTATTGTGGAATCAAACTTTAACGAAGAGGCTCAACAAAATTGGACTGAAACCACTAAAATGCGATAGTTGTATTTTAAAAAATGAATCAAATACTGTCTATCTTGCTGTATACGTGGACGACGGAATAATTGTGGGGAAGAATTTGCAAGAGGTAGATGAAATTTTGAAAAATATCAAAAAGATGTTTGAAATTACAGTAGATCATTCAGCAGGAACATTCATAGGAATGGAAATTTCACAAGAAACGAATGGAATTCGTTTAACACAGTCTTTGTTCTGCGAACAAGTAGTAGAAAAATTTGGTTTGACTAATGCTAAGGATTCGGAAATACCAATCATGACAAAAGATGAGGTATTTTCCCATATCGTGAAGCAGTAGGAAGTGTGCTCTACCTCAGTTCAAAAACACGTCCGGACATCAGTTTTGCTGTTGGAAAGGAATCTCGATACCTGGAAAATCCATCAGACTCGGATGTAAAAAACGTAAAACGTACAATAAAATATTTGAAAGGAACCAAACATTTAGGTTTGTTCTTCAAAAAGAATAGAAATTTGAATGAGATGGTAGTGTACACGGATAGCGATTATGCTAATGATCTAGAAAGTAGACGTAGTACTACTGGATATGTATGTTTCGTTAATGGAACACCAATAACCTGGTGTTCAAGACGTCAACCCATCGTAGCACTCTCATCTACAGAAGCTGAATTCATAAGTGCAGCTGAAGCTCCGAAGGAAGTTTTATTTTTGAAAGCCTTGATTGAAGAGTTGATAGGCAAAAATTTAAAAATTAAATTTCCAATTGATAACACGAGCACAATCGCACTAATAAAAAATGGGAAGTTTAATCAGCGCAGCAAACACATTGATGTGCGGTATTATTTCATTTGTGAAAAATTCAGTGAAGGTGTATTTGATATTGTGCCACCGAATATCAAATAGCCGACATACTTACTAAGCCATTATTGCCAATTAAATTTAAACGGTTTAGGGATGTGTTAATGAACTGAAAGTGATGAACATTGTTGTGCAAAGTTTGAGGGAAGGTGTTGAAAAGTGTTCTGTACAAACTTTGTATCAAGGAGTGAATGTTTTATATAAAAATAATTGAAGTAGTTGTATTCTATAAACAAATTAAAAAGCTTGTCAATATTATTCAATATCTTTGATTTTGAGTATGGATGTATCAAGATAAGATCCAGGGTACAATTTTCACATTTACTCTATGGTTTTATATAGTATGTAATACGTAATATGTAATATGTAATATGTAATATGTAATATGTAATATGTAATATGTAATATGTAATATGTAATATGTAATATGTAATATGTAATATGTAATATGTAATATGTAATATGCAATATGCAATATGCAATATGCAATATGCAATATGCAATATGGAATATGTAACAGCTCGTATCTCGTGCCAAACACAAGCAAAGGGCTAGTTACAAAGCTAGCTTTAGACTTGCTGAACCGCAGTAGGAATTTTATTGACAGATCTACGGACGGTCGAAATTTTATATTGCATTGTATTAAAGTACACATTCGTTAAATGTGCACATTGACCGGTCAATTGAGGGAAGGGCATTTTTATACTCCCCTCACATTGAGCAAATCACTTACTTCTCTCTGGCACTTTAGTGAGCAATAGAGGGTGTGGTAATTATTTTCACCACATAAAGCTTTTGCCAAGCAGAATACTACATCAAAAATAAATTTGCTTAGACCACTGATAGAGCTTGAGACACGCCCATATCAGTAAAAATAACCAGTGAAAACGAACACAATGTATTTTACATAAATAAAGCTTCTCTACTTCAATTCTCCTCCACCGTCTACGACCTGTAATTCTTCTTCCAGCAAATTTATGTGTCTGTAAATACTGTCCAGCAGTTCCTGAACCTCTGTACGTTCGGAAATATAAACGGCATCACAATTCAACGACAATATCAGCCGGTTGTCGTAAGACAACGATCCAATCGTCAAGCCTAAAATCGGAGGTCAAGCGGAAGTAACAGAAGCGCTTACCTACCGATGTCCAACATATGTGGCAGCCAAAATACAAATTCGCACACTTTAATGTGACCATCGCCGTAAGTCATCTTTGGCGGTCCAGGAATCAGACTAATGCCGGCCGTTGCATGAATGTATTGACATATGTGGCGTACCCAAGAAATCGGAAGCACACCAAAAAAATGACTGAAGATGATCGCGGACACCTGAAGGCTGATACTAGTAAAAAGGAGGTAAAAACACATTACCTCAGCTTCAGTGGACACCTTTAGAGTGTTGATTAATCTCTTCACGACATTCAGCTTACTTAATATTGGCGTGGCAGGATTGTAATCTTCAGCTCCAATGAATGTCGGCACCTTGACGCTTACCACCACATATCTGTTATTAAACTGGATGTCTTCAATATTCACTTCGCCTGGTCGCATATTCAGCAGTTCGGAGTAATTTGAAACTATCGGCAGCACCAAAGTAGTGTGGCTTGGATAGTTGTTGTACTAAAAGCAAACACAAAGAAGTCGTGTTTGAACCGCCAGGGTATGGGTAGTCGATTTGCTACAAGGATTATACAATGCTATTTATTAAGAAGTAGACATAAGATTTATTTGTATTGTTTTTCCCCGTCTACTTTTAAATGGCAAAATCCCTTCTGAAGGGCGCCTAATTTTATGCAACCAAAATAACTTCTTAAAATATATGAAGATCTGGCTGTCACATTAATTAATTTGAATATTGTTGCTGTGGTTTCGGTATTTATATTTTCGTTCGTGTGCAATGTATTCAACTGAAGAAAAAGTTGATATTGTCAATTGGAATAGTGCCGGTAGCAGTTTAAGGGGCGTAAGAGATATATTTTCTGTTAACTCAAATCAAAAATATTCAAAATAACTGATATGACAGCCAGATGTTTATTTGTTTGAGAAAGTTATTTTGGATGCATAGAATTATCCCCCCTTCAGAAGAGATTTTGGCTTTTAAACGTAGACACAGGGAAAAACAATACACATAAATCCCTATGTCTACTTCTGATGTATATGGGTAAAATATCATATGTAGCGCTTCATACGAGCAGCCTTGTTTAGAATTCGTGATTTTTTACCGAAAGAGCCGTGAACAGTCTGGTTTCATTTTTCCCGTTTTCAGAGTTTGCAACGTAAAATAGGTAAGAATCAGGGCTCGCGGATTGGCAAAGAAGGGGCGCTATCACGAGATTTGTGTTAGCTCCGTTTCGGTTTTCTACTCGGCAACATACAAGGCGAAGTTTGCGGTTACAAAAATTAAATCTCGAGTAAAATGGAGTCGGGCATTACTCCCTTTAGAGTACAAGGCGTTCGCTAAAATTTTTGATTGTGGAAAAAGTTATCGCATCTTTTACAAAATCTTAAAAATATAGCAGAATTACGGTGGCCGTCAAAGAACGTATTAATAAAATTAGTTTCTAGCGTGCAGTTCTACCCTCACGGAATTTGGAGGTGTTTTTATATTAGTAAAAGCCTAGAATTTCAAGCGTGCCGGTAGAAATTTTGTGTGAGGTATTCGATCGAACTACGAACAAGCAAAATAACCTCAGTTTATTGCCGTAGCGCATTGTTTAATTTGCGTTAATTTCGTGTTAGTGGCATATGCATGGTTCTCTCTAGTAAACTTGAGCGACGGCAAATTAACTTCGTTTTACAATCTTGCTAAAAACAGAAGTCTCATTCGCAAGAAATAAAAATTCATTTACGTGGACGCTGTGTTTCGAGCGCACCGTAGTTCATGAACCCTTTTCTCCAAGTAATTAATTCATTATTCAACAAAAACGCACCTTGACATCAGAAAAGTTGAAGCTGCAGAATTTTTTTTGAGTTTTTATTATCGACCAGATCGATTAGAGTTTTTTATGTTGAAAGTGGTCTAATGGAATCAGCTTTTCTATGTCAAGGAGTACACAAAATTTATTTTGATACCAGCGAGAATAGTTCGAATAGTTTCGGTTCCATTGAGCCAGTCGGTGCAATCCATATTTTGATAAATATTGAAGTAACCGGATTAAATATTGCTACTAAGTACGCGTTGCACTGGCCTCGTAACTTTTACAAAAAAGTAGCATCAAATTCGTGAAATCCACAGGTGTCCCATTAAACCACCTTGTACATTTTACGCAAGATCGCTTATATTATGATACTTTTTGGTTCACTTCAGTATCGGGTGGTTACTTCTGTACCGAAAGGAACTTTGCGTTATGTATCGGTTGCTGCTTAAGTGAGAATCACGCATCAATTAGTGAATCTCTCCAGAACTGAATGTCGGAAGGAATTTGTAGCAAGGAGAAATTGGTTAATCCGAGCATTCGCCTTAGTGGGGTCAAAACGGAATGTCGGAAAAAGTACTCACGTAGGGTTTATTCGGTAACGCAAAATTCTTATGACTAACCGGCAGACGCGCAAAGAACGAATCAAAGATACGGGGTATAAAAGCATTGACATAAAAATTCAGTCGACTTCTGTTCCTCATAGCGAAGAAAACTCTCCCTGGCCCTACTGTTCATCCCTAGCGTAGGACTCCAACATCTACTGTTCGCCCATAGCGTAGGTGCCCCATATCCCATTGTTCACCCATAGCATAGGATCACCTTCATCCGTGTTACATCTACATCTGACCTTCGAGACGTCGTCATCGCCTCTACCGCGGCTGAACATCAGAGGTCCACGCCGAAGCTCCTGTGCCCCGGTGCTCAACGGAGTAAGCCACCACTCTAAACCCACAAATGGGAAATGGTTGGTCTAGACGAGATGCACGGGTTAATTCAAATCTTCAAATCGTTATATCTCGCAGAAATGGTACTTATAAAGGAAAAATATTCTGCACAACAGACATTGAGTTAAAACTTTAAATGGGAAAGTATCCTTCGCTTTCAAAAAAGTTAAAAAGGAACGTTTCTTGTCAACACACTGTAAAATACTGCCGGTTCTTTGCAGCCTTACATCAGCTGCACTTTTAACAATGTACGAAGAATCGCATACGATTTCCAGTAGTAGATTTGTTGACACTCAGCTCGCATTCTGAAACATCCGAATCATATTCATTAGCACTGACTTCGTTGAAATCGATTGGCGAAAGTTTTCGTTCGTTCGTTAGACGAGGAACAAATGCATGGAGAAAACCATCACTTAAGGGCAAAAAACGATGACTAGCTAATGTTTTCTAAGGAAAAATGTTAAAAAAAGTATTATGGGTTGCATCAGCTTGCAAACTAAAATGATGGATGAATATGACGTAAAATTTCGATCACATTTTTACCCATACTTTATGATTATTTCTTAGAATTTAGGTAAGATAATGCTTTAGCGATTTCTACTATAAAGAATTTTTACAGTGAAAGGGATATGGCGAATATAGTTATTTACATATGAGTATGGTAAATCAAGGTTTACGTTAACGAGTGAGATGTTTACTGCCGAAGCGTAGCTGAGGCAGGAATTTCGAAACGAGTAACGTAAACTGATTTGACATACGAATAATGTAAAACATTTTTTGTACTCATTGAATGGAAAGATAATGTTTCCAAGCATCCTCGATGCACGGGAAAACGACTTTCCCGCATCGCGGTGTTTTTTAGTTTCCGCTGGAGACAAGGGGTTATGCGCGTTCTTCGGTTGGTAGTACTTATTGAAGTCAACGAACGTCATGTCATGGTTAACTGTCATCTGCTGTAAAATCAATTAAACCGTTGGTTGAGGGTATTTAGTGCGATTAATCGGAAACAGACGTACACTAAGTTTTACGTAAATATATAAACAAGAACTTATAACGCAATCAAATTATTTTTCAGAATTGGAACTCAAGAAAAAGTAAAATTTATTGTTAAAACGTCTTAAAATGTGACCAGTGATATTCTGCAACTATTCGCATATGCAGTTTAAGAAAGCACATATTAACACACACAAAGCTTCCAAGGATTTTAAATGTAACGAGTGTATTTACGCAACTCAAGATAAATCAAATTTGAGAACACATTTCTTCACACATGTCTTCTGGGAATATTAAATACGATCAGTGCACTTACGCGACCAATAAGAGCACTCTTTTCAAAGCATATTTGTTAACATTGAAGACTTCCAAGGATATTCAGTGCAAACGATGCAATGCCGTGACCAGTAGTAGCACTCATTGCAAAGGCAAAATATGTATTAAACAAAGATGTGGAAGTTTTAAATGTGACCAGTGCAATGGTAGTTACAAAATTATGTTACCAACCAAACATGATTGTGTTACCAACTCACGATTAAAAAAAAACTAATTTACAAAACTATTAATTTTGACCTTTTTTTACGCAATTCGTTACAAAAAATATTGTACCTAACTCTTTCGGAAAGAATTTTCCCGCATTCGCACTAAATGCAGCACTCCCTACGGTCGTGCTGCAAACAAAGTGCTCATGCGGGAAAATTAACTTACCGAACTTGTTAGGTAAATAACTATTATTTCATACTGCTCTATTTCTATTAAAATACCATTTTGATTAGAATGTTGTAGGTACACATTAAAATAAAAGCAAAAGTCGATTACTTGATTTGTTTGATGTGAGAGTAGTTTGACAAAAATATCGATGCATACGTTTAGATGGATGTCAGTTGCGGTTGCTAGGCAAAATTTCCAGTCTGGTAAAAAGTTTCAGTCTGGTAAAATACGATTTACCAGACTCAAATCAGTCTGGGAAAGCGGCGATTACTAGATAGTATGAAATAAAAAATATTTACCACCAAGAAAGTCACAACGTTTTTTACCTTCAAAAAATGAGCCTTTAGACTTTCACTGATTACGGTCAAGATTATTTCTGGAATTGTGGCTCCGCTACGTTTTCGTATTGTCTTTACTTTCTCGAGGTACTGTCCGTTAGGATCCAGCGCAACCGCACAGTGCTCTTGAAATTCGAGTTCCTTTCCGTGGACCTCATTGCCTACGCACGACTTCAATACCACAATGGAAAATAGGCAGACGGGGAAAAACAAAATTATCCTAATCGCTTGGATTACACGTCGAAACGTTGTAAGCCACACAAACTTTTCGGCGTCGATGTACTTCTCAAATGTGGATATTTTAGGGTGGTTTGACTTATCACCAAGCACACCCACAACGAGTTTCAAAATTGAGATCCCGTCAGCAATGAGGTGATGCACCCGTATCACGATTGGGTAATGCTTGATATTGCTAGTACCCTCGTTTCGCCATTTGAGCGGTTGCGTTCCAACGGAAATGTCCCATAGTAGTGGCCCGTTGAACGGTTCGTAACACCATCGACCGATCAATCCGTTGAGGGCTTCCACGTCCAGTTCACCATCGACCGTCGGCAAATGACGAATGCAAGTTTCGTGCTCAAGTTCCACCCTTTCCAGGTATAGATATCCTGAAAACATCTTGGGCTTAGTAAACAGCTTGCCAAGATGGCTTCTATTTTTTCTCAACTGAGCCCTAATAACATCCTGGACGTACTCCATCACCGTCTTAGGGCTGCTGTTTGAGTCAATTTCGCACACCATTAATCCAATGATGGTGCTCCTCTTCATCGATTGAGTTGCGTTAAACACGTCTAAACCACTCACTAAACAGAAAAAATCATCTCCGCATTCCTCCTTCAGGATGGCTGTTAGTACTATCTCCCGGTATAGGAGCAGGAGTACGTAAATTACAGCTGAAAATGCTACTCCGACCAAAATGAAGGGGAATAACACAATGAAGAGAAGTGCAGTTGCTCTAGATTTCGTTTGCCTCTAAAAAATGGGTTAATTTTTGACATAATCGGGAGACCCATACCTTAATCTCATTCACATTTACTATCATCAGTACTAATACTAGCAAGGCGAGTGCTATTAGACATATCGTTGCATACACCATTGCTAAAGTTGCCCGCGGGAAGGTTTTCAATTCCTTTAGCAATTAGACTACTCGCGAAGGTGAAAACCACTTCCCCTGTGTGATAGCGATAATTCTAAAAATAATTTGTTTATATCACAAAAAGTATGGTGATAGTAGGTATATTGCTTGTTGATTTTCTTTGTCGGCGAGATCGCACCTAAAAAATCTTTTAGAAAATGCATACCAAAGTTTAGTTTGGGACCCCCTGTAGACAAAATTCTTCGTTCTTTCGTTTCTTCCTTCCTCTTCAATAAAATGACGTCATTCACCGCTTTAGTACACACACACAAACTTCAAAGTGTGAAGACTTAACAAACCAGAAAGGCTTTATCAAAAAATCACAGTTTTGACTTCTCCCGAGGGAAGTTTATGTGACAACCGCCGGACTAATCGCCCATTTCATATACATATACGAGTAGAGATTACGCTCAACCAGGATTCGAAAAGGAACCGACCAATACCGAGTAAAATTAGGATGCTATGAACCGTATCCGACACCGCAGCGCAGTATTTGATTCGCTAGTTTTCCAGCAGATTCTTGATTAAATTACCAAATTAGTCACCCCTGGGTAGTAACCCCCAGGTCCAAATCAAGTCTAGTGTACTCAGGTCCAGATTGATTACTAACAGCGGGCGAGATAATAATTTGCCGTTCCCGCGCAAATATATACCTATAGAAATTCGTTTTTCTTTCTTTCATTTCAACAATCGAACAACCAACCACTGCAACTGTTGCATACAGCTCGTATTTTTTTTCCGTTTTGAAAACATCTCCAGATGTATGTCGTTGAAAACCAAACTGGCCTACAGTCTTTTGTTTTTGAATTATATGGCCAAACGTTGCATTTTTCGATTTTTAGATAAAAGTCTCTTTTTATCACCCGCATGTTAGTAAGGGGGGTACGTATTGCATTGGGATAAAAATGACCCCCTCCCCCCAATTTTTAGACGGAAATATATAATAATAAACCGATACAACGAAATATCGAAGGATCCTCAGTATTACAATCACTTTTAACGACAATTTATTTTAATCTTACAAAATACATTTTATAGTTAACAAAAATGCATCAAATTCATGTCTTGGGCTTTGAGATAATGCTCTTGGTTTTTTTCCCAACGATCTTGGTGCATAAATAACGATTTTGACATGTTTTGATCAAAATCCACGTTTTCGCCAAAAATTCATCAAATTCATGTCTTGGGCATTGAGATAATGCGCCTAGTCTTTTCCCCAATGATCTTGGTGCATAAATAACGATTTTGACATGTTTTGATCAAAATCCACGTGGTCGCCAAAAATGCATCAAATTCATGTCTTGGGCATTGAGATAATGCGCTTAGTCTTTTTCCCAACGCTCTTGGTGCATAAATAACGATTTTGACATGTTTTGATCAAAATCCACGTGGTCGCCAAAAATGCATCAAATTCATGTCTTGGGCATTGAGATAATGCGCCTAGTCTTTTCCCAACGATCTTGGTGCATAAATAACGATTTTGACATGTTTTGATCAAAATCCACGTGGTCGCCAAAAATGCATCAAATTTATGTCTTGGGCATTGAGATAATGCGCGTAGTCTTTTTCCCAACGATCTTGGTGCATAATTAACGATTTTGACATATTTTGATCAAAATCCATGTGGCCTCAGAAAAATAATTTAACATTTTTGAATCACACACATGCGGTTATCAAACGTGCACGTTATCAACTCTTTCAGCATCAAGATAATGCGTTTGAAAGCTTTTACAACTCTAAATTCATGTGTAAAGAATAATTTTGGGTACATTTTGCTCTAAAACTTTTGACCGAGACCACAGAGAAGAGTTATATTGAATTGTTACACATCTAAGAGTCATAGGGAATAATCTAGCGAAAGTCCGAACTCGATACATGACCTAGGGAATGAAATATGTTAATTTTTATTATATTGAGTTCGCAGTTTTTCCTGTTCCCGATTCACTCGAAGTCGTATAACTTTTGTTCCTGTTGAACCAGCTTCCTGAAAATCAATAGCGTCCGTTCTTAATGTCCAACGTACCCGTATACCAAATTTCAACACAATCGGCCACTTTTAAAAAGAGTTAGAGCGCACACGGACGGACGGACGGACGGACGGACGGACGACAATACAAAACTATAAAGGATCTGAGGATCCTTAATAAACTAAATCATGACGATGTCGGTTTGTCGATCTGTACTCTCATTTCCAGTTAAACGTATGAACCGATTGGAATCAAATTTGGTACACATATTCTTAGACAAAAAAGTAAGAGCTTAACCTTAGCAAATTTCTGTATTAAGTTATCGGAAATGCGTTTATTACAAAAGTTTCTGCTGTAGAATCTGGCGTTTTCAAAATAAGTATATGGAACCATGTAATAAAGTTATCGGACCTAATCTCTTTTTTAAACGAATTAAATTCAAAAAGGTTAATACATTTTTTAAGAAATTTAAAAAAAAATTTGTGAAATTTATTGTATTTTTTGAATGATTTAAACATTTTTTATTTTTAAAAATCCTTTTTAAATTTTTTAAACCTTTTTTGAATTTTTTAAAGTCACTTTAATCTTATTTAGTACCATCCCTGGTGTGCTATATAGTTCTGAAAAGAGAATTTAATATGCTGTCTGTTTAGATTAAAATATACAGGATGTTCTATTTAAAAAATGAGGTTAGGTTCATTTAATGATTGTTGCATAATCTACCGTTTTCAAAATAAATATACGGGATTATGGAAAAAAGTTATCGGACCTAACCACATTTTTTAAATAGAACATCCATAATTTCATTGTGTATTAGGTTATCGGAAATCTGTTTATTACAAATTTTGTAATAAACAGATTTCCGATAACCTAATACACAAAGAAATTATAGGCTCTTATCTATACTTAAATCGAAAAATTTGACTTTTGCCCATAACGCAAAAAAAGGGCTGTAGGCCAGTTTAGTTTTTAACATCGAATTTATCTCAAAAAAATGCATCGAGACTGCGAGGTCAATTTTTTTTCTATCGCGCATAGTTTATAAAAGTTACCCGGTACTAACAACCAAATACGGCCACAGAGAAAATAATTTATACATAAACGTGAAATTGTCCAATTTTAATAATTGACATAATCCCGAATACCAAGCGCCTTTCTTTATGTTTGTTCATTTATGAGCATGCGTAATTGCGTCATATTAAGCAATTTAAAAGAGTGGATTTCAAGCTCTTTGCCTTCCTCTGGCTTCGGTCCCAATCGTACTTGAAATTGAAATATAGTTTTTGTTTCACCTTCAGAAGTCAACTTGCGTCATTTACCTCGGTACACCAGTTTCCTTGAAGTTAGCTTGGGATTCGGATTCGGATTAATAAATATTACAGTTGATCAGCCAAGTTACACGACATTATGAATTTATAATAAAAACGGTGTAAAAATCATACAAGCGTAATGAAATCAATATTAAACCACGATGAAGATACAAAAATTTTACAAAACAACAAAAATGATCAAACACACCTTATAAATTTAGTTTGTAACAGGCTGCAACAAGTTTCATAAACTCATGCGCAAAATAAGAAACACTCCTGTAAGGTAGATATTTCAGATTCAGAGACTAAATGCACGAATTTATCTTCCAAAGGTAGGGGTAAAATTATAACTTTTGCGATGATGTCTGTAACAGGCTGGAACCTCGGCTGGAACAAGTTTCATAAAATCATTCAAAAAATAAGAATCTTCTGCCAAAACAGATATTGCAAATGCTGAATAGAGGAATCTACCCTCCCAAGATAGGGGTAAAATTATAACCTCTACAATTATGTTTGTAACAGGCTGGAGGTAGCGGGACCGAGATAAGGGAGCAACATACAGCGAACAATTGGACTTATGAGGTACTCCCTTCGCGAAGGAAACCGTTAGCCAACACATATCTGAGATCATCACACTGATAATCTACTTCCACATGAACACATAAATAAATATCAAATTTCACGTATGACCAACATATACAATGTTGCATTTTCCACGATATTGAAATGATCTCATGCTTATTCAGTGGTTTGGAGTAGGTAAGGCCAATTAAGATACCGACTTTAGCTCTAGTTACAGCAACATCTCGTCTCGAGACGCTCGGAACCCACTATGAAAACAATGCCCTACAGAAATTAAAAGACGCAGAACGGACAATATTCAATTCCACCAAATGCTCACAGATTTATTCTTGAAATTCCACTAGTCACATAACTTATTGGAAAATCGGCCCTCTAAACTTCGACACCTTGTAAATGTTGATGTATGATATTGGACCACTTTGTCATACTAAGATATAATATTTATATAATATTTCAGAGTGAGTAATACCATTGATTAACATATAACGAGGAAGATAGACAACCACGCGGCACAATTTGCGCCGATTGCATGTTCTACTCGTTAGCAAAGATCAGTGTAGTATGATCTTTGTCGTTAGGATAGTTTGCATCGTCCATCTGCAGCATGGTACATGAACTAAAACGCAATTATCTCATACTTCCTCGCAGATTTCTACGTACCTAATAGCACTTTTAAAATCCAGGTCCGTAGTAGAAATTTATAAGCATACATAATAACCGATCAGCTCAAGTTTAAGTATTTAATTATAAGATAGTCTGCAGTCATAGATAAAAGACATAGGTATCACATATCTGTGCCGCAGTGAAATAATTGCGCAAATTCAAACGTCAGCATTTAATTTCATGTGTAAGATAAACAACGTCGTGCAAGACGCCGTGCATCAAAGATGCCGACTCTTCACCGCACACATTTATTGTTTCATTATGCAGAATTTTGCAAAATCAGCTGTCCCCTGATTTATCTTACGTGTTAAGCGAGGTACGAGAATAAACACGAAATCGTATTGTAATTGAAATGTAATGTCTAAACTCTAAAGGTTCTGTAGTACCCGCCGTACCCTGTACCCGGAGCCTATACATGCGTTTAATGTGCCTAAATCGTGTTTGTAAAAACTAGTAAAATAATAATCATTATTGCAGTATCAACTATAAAACTATTAGCGGATAAATTTGTATGTGCGGATAGTGAAAAAAGTGTGTAGGTATTACATCTTTTGTTAGCCCATCGTATAAATTTAGACCAAGATCGCGTACGGTATACTCTTTGGATATTTGATTACTACCTATGCATGCGATTATGATAAATTGAAATGTAAAGTAAAAGTGTAAGTTTATTAAGTTGTTTATAACGATATCCGTATGCCGAGTTTATAAAAAGGAAGTTCGCAAAAAGCAAATCCGGCGGAAAATCTTCGGTATACCTGTAGTGCGATCACTAAAATAAAAGAAAATATTAAATTTGCAATGATATTGTACCGTATATTTTGAT